AGGTGTCTGCGTCTAGTCAGCTTGCAGCGTCTTGCTCGTGTCGGGTACTCTCCCACCAGACTCTCCTCTGGCACCACCGCCTCTGTCACCCCTCACTGCCGCGTCTCCGCGGCATGCACTCCCGTCTCCTTGTCTCTGGGCTTCCCAGGTCCCTGCCCTCCCTCCCGCGCTCACCTGCACCGCCCTGCCTTCCCTGCGTCGAGGGGCGGCAGCGCGCCGCTCCTCACTCCTCCGAGTTTCCTCCGACCACTGCTCCTCTGTAGACTCTCCACATGGACGTGTGGGGCCCAGCCCCCATCGGGGGAACGGAACAGAAGCGCTACTTCCTGGTGGTTGTTGACGACTACACACGCTACACCACTATCTTCCCCTTGCGTCGTAAGGCGGACGTCAACAGTGCTTTGATCCCCTGGATCCGTGCTACTCGTCGCCAGTTGCGCGAGCGGTTTCGTCGGGACTTGCTAGTCCTGCGTCTGCACTCTGACAGTGGCGGTGAGTTCTCTTCCGGCCTCCTTGAGGAGTTCTGTCGAGACGAGGGCATCTGCCAGACATTCACGCTTCCGGCCTCTCCTCAGCAGAATGGGATTGTTGAGCGTCGCATTGGCTTGATCATGGAGGTTGCTCGTACCTCCATGATCCATGCGGCTGCTCCCATTTTCTGTGGCCGTTTGCGGTCCGATACGCTGCGCATCAGCTCAACCTCTGGCCCCGTGTCTCTGAGCCAGAGACCTCGCCCACACTCCGGTGGACGGGGAAGGTTAGCGATGCGTCGGTGTTTCGGGTCTGGGGAGTCCTCTCCCTTGTTCGCGATGCCAAAACGAGCAAGCTCTCCTCTCGCACTCTCTGCTGCGTCTTTCTTGGCTTCCCCACCGACGCCCCGCCGTGGCAGTTCTACCACCCGCGCGAACGTCGAGTCTTCTCCTCCCAGGACGTCACTTTTGACGAGTCAGTCTGTTTCTACAGACTACACCCGCACACGTCCCACCCGATCCCCCTCGCTCCTCTCTTCCTGGTACCAGTCCCCCCCCCGGTAGACCCCCTCCCCCCACAGGGTCCTGCTCCCTCAGGTGTGTCTCAGGTAGACCCACCCCCCTAGGTTGAGCCTCTGGAGATCTCTTCTGACTCCCCTGGCCGAGCTGAGGGGGGTGACCCCGCCGCTGACGACACGGCGACCGCTTACCGCTCTCCACCCTTGGAGACCCCCCCTGGTTTTCCGCCTCGGCCGTCTTCGCCGCCTCCGCAACCTGCTGCTGTGGACTCTGGTGCTGAGCCTGGGGGTGCTGAGACAGAGGGTGAGGGTTTTGGGGGTGCTGCGCCTGGGGGTGCTGTGACTAGGGGTGCTGGTTCTGGGGGTGCTGTGACTAGGGGTGCTGACTCTGGGGGTGCTGCGAGTCCTAGTGGCGGTGGAGCTGTGGGTGACCCTGTTGGAGGTCCTGGAGCTGGACAGCCACCGCAGCCTGATCTACTTGAGACGCTCTCGCTGCAGGTGATTCGTTCGTGGATCGTTCGGCGAGGCAGTCCTGGTGGTGGAGGGTACGGTCCTGCTGGTGCTGGAGCTGCCAGTTCTGGAGGTACTGGAGGTGCTGGAGGTACTGCTGGAGGTGCGGGAGGTGCTGCGTGTACTGGAGGTACTAGAGGTGCTGCTGGTGCTGGAGGCTCTAGAGCTGCTAGTCCTGGAGGTACTGGAGGTGCTGCTAGTGCTGGAGGTGACGGAGCTACTAGTCCTGGAGGTGTTACTTGTGCTGGAGGTGCTGGAGCTGGAGGTACTGGAGGAGCTGGAGCTGCTGGTCCTGGAGGTGCTCGTACTAGAGGTGCTGGAGCTGCCGAAGCAGGTGGTGCTGCTGGTGCTGGAGGTGCTACTAGAGCTGCTGGTGCTGGAGGTGCTTGTGCTGCTGGTGCTGGAGGAGCTGGAGCTGTTGGTAACGCCCCGCGCCGACTGTTTTTCTACCCGCACCCGCAGTCGTCCCAGCCGCCACCTGACTCGGTCCTTCACAAGGTTCTTAGTCTCTCGTCTTCCACTGGCCTCACTCCACCTCTCTTGTGTCCACCGACAGACCAGTCTCAGCCACAGCTACTGCCTGGCTTCCCACTGCCTTCTCCTACTCCTCACACTGAGGTGACTAAGTCTCTTATTGAGCGTCGTGAGCCTGAGACTCGTGCTTCCGCACCTGTTCGTGCTCGTCGTGTCGCCCGTCCTCGTCCTCCTGCTGTCCCAGGCACTCACGGTGTGGCGCTTTACCTCGTTTCGCATCCATGCTACTTTGCCCTTAGGAGACCCGGATGCACTTGACATCCCAACCCCGCGCTCTTACACTGAGGCGATCGCGGGGGAGTACTTCTCTCAGTGGGAGACAGCCATGGGTGCAGAGATGGCATCCTGAAAGTCCACAGGCACCTACGTCGACGAGGTTCCTCCTCCTGGGGCGAACATAGTCGATGGCATGTGGATTTTCAGAGTGATGCGGCCGCCGGGTTCTCCGTCTGCCTTCAAGGCGCGTTACGTTGCTCGACGCTTCAGTCAGCGACAGGGGGTCGACTTCTTCCATACCTTCTCCCCCTCCCCAAAGATGACTACTCTTCGGGTGTTGCTGCACGTTGCACCACAGCGTGACTACGAGCTGCACTCCTTCGACTTCTCCACAGCTTTCTTACAGGGCAGCCTTCACGAGGAGATCTGGCCGCGCCGCCCACCTGGCTTTGCTGGGTCGTTTCCTGAGGGTACCCAGTGGAGCCTCCGGCGGCCAGTTTACGGTCTCCACCAAGCGACCCGCGAGTGGCACGACACATTGAGGTTGACGCTTGCGGCTCTTGGGTTTGCTCCTTCCTCTGCTAACCCGTCGATGTTTCTACGCATAGACACTTCTCTGCCGCCGTTCTACGTTCTTGTGTACGTCGACGACTTGGTTTTTGCTACTACTAATACTGAGGCACTGGCCCTAGTGAAGGCGGAGGTGCAGGAGAGACACACCTGCACTGACCTGGGTGAGCTGCGTAGCTATCTTGGCTTGCAGATCACCCGGGACAGAGCACGACGCACCATCACATTGACTTAGTCACACATGGTGCACCAGGTCCTTCGGCGCTTCAGCTTCCAGTACTCCTCGCCACCGCCCACTCCTCTGTCTACCGGCCACTCGCTCTCAGCTCCACCTTCGGACGAGTCCGTAGAGCCGAGTGGTCCGTACCCAGAGCTTGTGGGTTACCTCATCTACCTGATGACGTGCACACGACCTGACCTCGCGTACCCTCTCAGCCTCCTGGCTCGCTACATGGCTCCCGGTAGACACCGAAAGGTGCACTTTGATGCGGCAAAGAGGGTACTGCGTTACTTGTGCAGTACTTTGGGACAGGGTTCCGTGGTACTCACAGGACACTCCGACGTTCCTTCGGCCGAGGATTAGGCGACTCAGCGTTCGTCACAGGGTTACACTTTCAGTCTTGGCTCTGGTTCTGTCTCGTGGAGGTCCACTCGTTCTTCTTCTGTGCTTGGTTCCAGCTGTGAGGCCGAGATCTACGCTGGGGCCATGGCTGCACAGGAGCTACGCTGGCTGGCCTACCTGCTGACTGACTTGGGGGAGCGGCCTCGTTCTCCTCCAGTTCTATACGTTGACAACAAGGCCATGATTGCCTTGTGTCAGGAGAAGAGACTGGAGCACAGAACGAAGCACATTGCTCTTCGTTAATTCCTTGCTCGGGAGCTGCAGCAGCGTGGTCAGCTTCGCCTTGCTTACGTGGCCTCTCGGGCCAACACTGCTGATGTCTTCACCAAGGCCCTTGGGTCTGGTGATCTTCAGCGTTTTTGCACTGTTCTTGGGCTTCTGCCCGTTCTACCTCACCTGCTTGTCTCTTGATCTTGTACTTGTTGTACCCTAATATTTATATTTATACCTGCATGTTTCCTCTTGCTAGGTTGTGATCAGTGCACTGCCTTGCTATTATAACTATGCATGTGAACTGGCCTTGTGGCCGCTTGCTTGTGCTCGGATTGTGTGGTGTCCTTGAGATCCACCCTGAGCTTTGCTCTGTTGTCTTGCTTGACTGGTCTTGTGACCGTCTTAGGCCATGGGGGTGTGTCAAAGTACAATCTCACTTGTAGGCTATAGTGGGGCACTCCTTATGGGGTACAACACTTCTAGGGTTAGTACTTGTACCTCAACTCATGCTATCCAATCATTCCTGCACAGTTATTCTGACAGTAGCAGGCCCGATGACGAGCACGCGTCGGTGACGAGCATGTGTGGGTGGCGGAAATAAGACGGTGACCTGAATGAACACTTGTGATTGAATGCAAACAACACTTGTGGGGGTTGAAGCTTGTAAATCACGGCATTCAATGCATAAAACGCATCGTAAATTTCAGCGTAGGTTCCCGAGGATGAGAGTGCACTTGGGAAAACATTGAAAAATCAGCACAAACCTAAAACAAGTTGCTGAATTTCTATATTTGACAATACATCCGGTAAAAGAAGCCTGAAATATCAGAGTTTCTACGAAAAAAATAGCTAAATCCTGCTACCGTAACTTGTGGAGTAATTACTCTATAGTTGTCTGAATATTCAGAAATTCGTTGTTATCTCGTCCTTCCGTTCAAACAGAAAAATCTTGGCAGGCAGTCAGAATTTCAGACAGGCAAAACACATGGTAGCATGGATCGCGGTGCAACAACGCTTCATTGTCCCGACCGGCTGAGAAGAAGCAACTTCACCCTCTCAAGTGACCAAATCCTGTGGACAAAATGCAAGATTCAAGCTAGCAGACATACCATCATACACTCCACACAGTTGTTGACCATGAGACTTCAGCAAGCCTTCCTTCTTGGTTCCAACTACCGTAAAAGGAAGAAAAGATTAACCAATCTCAGCTTCACTTTCATTACACCTGCTGGATTGTGCGGAATAGCCACAAACCTGCTGCTATAGTAGCTGCACTAAACTCACCCCTCACTCCACCACACGTATCGCAGGCAACGAGAGAAGCTTCACCAGGGCCTTCAGACAGGCTTACACGGCACCTTCTCTTTCATCAAAAGCAGCATCCAGGCGGGCTAGCTGCTTTTCAATATCTGCCGAAGGTGTCAAGTCCAGAATCTGCTTGTCCACCTCCTCAGCAGCTGCATTCCTCTTTGACCCGATCAGTTCTGCCAAAACCCCCTCCAGCTCGGCTGCGATCGCCCCCATACCGGGCCGAGTGGCATAGCGCTTGGCCGTGCATCGCAGCGCCAGCTGCAGCACTTTGAGAACGAGATCATCCTGTGCCTCCATGCGCGGGTCCTTGAGGCCTGGCCCCAGCACATCGCCAGACTGATCGAGCTGCTGTGTTACCTGGCAAGAAGGGATTTGCAAGGGTTTGCAGGGAGGTGCAGTTGAAAAGTGCAAGATAATGAAACAGGCTTAAAAAAAAAAAAATGGAAGCGAGAGAGGATCCATGGCTGAAATGCTTGACAGCTCACCGATGCCAGAATGTTCTTCGATTGGGTCGATTCTTCATCCGAGACAATGGCCAGAGACTCCTCAATGGCCTGTCGGCCCGTCATCACCTCAAGAATAACAATGCCAAAGCTGCACGTCCAGTCCAGGTACACAGTGCAAGTGCCAAAGTAGGTATGCATATTAAGAGCTTCAGCTCAAAAGTAACTCGATGCAATTACATGCAGATAACTTTTGAACATATTCTGAAGGCCCTTGTTCACCTGTATACGTCAGTGGCGGTGGTGGCCCTATTGGAGGCGGAATAGGAGGGGTCCACATAGCCCGGTGTTCCCACCACTCGAGTGCTCTGCGCTGAGTTGCCGTCTCCCTTCCTCACAAGCCCAAAGTCGGAGATCTTAGCCTGTTCTCATACATGGAAGTCAACGAGCAGGCAGAGGAAGTACTTTAGTTTGCAAAGGTGGTTGAAAGCTGGTTATACCCTGTGTGCAGATGTGTTCACTTGAGTGCATGCATCTTGGCAGCAAAACCTGTAGGACTTTGAGATCGAACATTTTTGGAACGGTTTTTTAGAGGTCTTAAAAGTGACCCCAAATCAGCTGCATGGCATGAGCATGTGAGTGAAAAAGCGATGCTTGCCTGCACCACTTGCCTGCATGGTTTGGTCGAGCAGGATGTTGGCGGGCTTGATGTCGCGGTGAATAATGGGGAAGTGGTGGAGATACTCAAAGCCGCGTGCCGCTCCCACCAGCACACTCAACCGCTGCTCAAAGCTCAGCGGGGTTTCTGCGTCTGCAGCGCGCACGCGCGGAATGGCAACGGAGGGGTGGGGAAAGGAGAGCCTTAGAAGTAGGCAGAATGCCTGCATGAAGAGGAATACGCCAAGGCCAGATCGGTGGGGACCCTTGAACCTGAACACATCTCTCGTTTCCAAATCCAAAGCACCTACAGTCCCAGAGCACACCTTTCCCAATCCATTCCACTGATAGAATGCACAGACACCTCTCCCAGTGCAGTGCAAAGCGAAGGACCAGTACCCACACTATCCCCCGCATCATGCCTTGCCCTGTGCGAGGGCAACCTGCAGATATTCTACCCCAACCCCCCCTCCCCCCCCCATCCATTGCAGAATCATGCCTTTCCCGATCCATCGCGAGAGGTCCCCGTTGGGCATGAGCTCGTAGATGAGGATTTGCTCGACCTTTGTCTTGTCGGTAATCCCGATTGAGAAGCCGAGTAGTCGCACGAGGTTGGGGTGGTGCTTTGTGGCCATCTCACACACCTGCCAAGGGGGACAAGGGGTCCAGTAAAACACAGTATAAGACACTGCTTCATTGCCATCTCATACACCTGCCAGGGCAAATGGTGGGACCAATAAAACCCAATTTGATTATCTATCTGACCCTGCTTCGTGGCCAACTCACACACCTGCCAAAGGATGAACAATGGCAAAACGGTGAGCCCATTAGAACACAATGTAATGATCTAATTGACGCGACTTTGCAGCCATCACACACACCTGCCAGGCAGGGGCAATGGGCGGCCCCATAACAAACACCGTTTATTCGTGTACCTGACTGACACACCTGGCTACAACAATGTAAGAGGGGCCATCTGGTCCATCAGGCAATATAGGACGTTCAGCAAGAAGTACCATCTGGTTGCTTGTCAACGAAACAATGTAACACTGATGCGACATGTCATCGTGATGCCGTAACATGCAATGTTCCTACCCAACGCCAGTGACGAGCATGTGCTAGAAGCTATGCTCTTTCCCTTGAGAAGAGTGTGCTTCGAAACGGATCACATCTCACCACACCACACCACACCATACCACATCACACCACGCTCACACACCTCGGTGTCAAAGTCGTTGGTGATTATCTTGGCTCGTGTTCTACCGATATCGCATCACACCACACCACGTTACACCACATCACACCCCACCACACCACCACATCTCGCTCAAACACCTCGGTGTCAAAGTCGTTGGTGATGATCTTGGCTCGCTTCACGGCCCACGGCGTCGTGCCATCGGTGGGAGAGACGCCGCGGTACACATCACCATACGCCCCTGCACCCAGCAGGTTGTTCTCGGACCACCCATTGGTGGCTTTCACCACCGCCTGCAGTGAATACTCCTGACACACCTGCGCTGCCGCCATGCTGCTCACCAGCGCTGTGGGGAGGCACGAGAGCAAGAGAGAGATGATTGGAAGAGGTACGCCAGGGGCATCTGACCCCCGTTATATTAGTTGGAGGGAAGCCTACACCAATGCAGCCACATGACTCAGTGTGCCGTTCCAGACAAGCAAAAGCAGTGTGAGGCGTGAGTATGGGGTGTGAGTGAGTGTGGGTTGTGAGTGTGAGGAGTGAAACGGCGTGAGGTGGGAGGGACGCACCTTTGCCTTGGTCTCTCCTGAAGAAGTGGTAGTAGAGGATGAGGGCAAAGAGCACAATCACAACCACAGCGCCAATCACGATCCCAATTATGGCGCCCACAGGAAATGGCTTCGATTGGTCGCCTGGGTAACAAGATAGGGGATTTTCACAGGACAACAATATACCGCTGCTAAACAGGCTGATGCACAGGAGAGCAGGCTGATGCACAGGAGAGCAGGCTGATGCACAGGAGAGCAGGCTGATGCACAGGAGAGCAGACTGATGCACAGGAGAGCAGTTTGATGCGCAGCAGAGCAGTTTGATGCGCAGCAGAGCAGTTTGATGCGCAGCAGAGCAGCTTGATGCGCAGCAGAGCAGCTTGACGCGCAGCAGAGCAGCTTGATGCGCAGCAGAGTAGCAGATCCTGCAGAGGCTAATGAAGTTCCAAGAGGGCAGAATCTTGAAGCTCAGACGCACGGGGCACGTGGCATGTGGCATGTGCTTGGATGGAAACACCTCTGCTCCTTCTTTCCTCCCCCTCGCTTTCTTAAGAGCGGAACTCACATGTGGCACAGAAGTCAGGGCAGGTGCGGCAGAAGGCAGAGGACGTATTCTGAGGCACGCCGCAGCTGGTATAGCTGTCAGGGCACTTGAGACTCGTGCTGCTGGTGGCTCTGCACAGGGAGGGCGCAAGGGTAGGGGAGTAGGGCAGATAAATTTTCTTTCCACCTGCTAGTTTCTAGTACCAGCAAGAGTCGCGGTGCCCCAGCCAGCAGCGATACCAGCAGCGTTGCCAGCAGCGTAGCCAGCAGTGTTGCCAGCAGCGTTGCCAGCAGCGATGCGGCTTATGGACTCTGCACATACGGCGCACTCACAGCGTTGAGAGCACTCACAGCATTGTCAGCACTCACAGCGTTGAGAGATTGGACAGGCCTCCAAATGATGGTGAGATGGTTCCCTGGAGCAGGTTGACGCTCACATTCCTGAAGCACATGAGATGCCAGGGGGACAGGGGGACATGAGACACGGAAGAAAAGCTCTTTTGGGACGACCCAAAAAGCGACTCACATCCCTGTGGCATATGGGAGGTTAGGAGGCCAAGAGCACATTAGACACAGGAGAACAGAGGTGCCACCGACCCCGGTTTGGCATTGTGGGAAGCATTCCTGTGTGCAAGGTGCGCCAGGGACCAAGAATAAGCCTCTTGCACAGCTTCTGCTCTTGGAGTGCGTGAAGGAGAGGCAAACTAACGAGACTACAGGAGGAGATGAGACGAGGGGAAGAGGCAAGACGAGGGGAAGAGACGAGAGGAGAGAGAAAGAGACGAGGCAAGGGAAGGAGACGAAACGAGGGAAAAGGCGGGCCAGAGACTCACAGGTAAACCAAGGTATCCATGTTTGCGAGGGAATCAGGGAGGGAGCCTGTGAGTTTATTATTGGAGACATTCCTGCAGTCACTCGGGCACGGTGCGGGGCAGAAGTAAGGACCGAGGCATGGGGAGAATGGTTGAAGGAGGAATGGCATGGCCCGCATGGGGAATGTAAGATGGGTGACATGATGGAAGATGACAGGACGGCAGATGACAGGACGGCAGATGACAGGACGGCAGATGACAGGACGGCAGATGACAGGACGGCAGATGACAGGACGGCAGACGACAGGACGGCAGATGACAGGACGGCAGATGACAGGACGGCAGACGACAGGACGGCAGATGACAGGACGGCAGATGACAGGACGGCAGATGACAGGACGGCAGATGACAGGACGGCAGATGACAGGACGGCAGACGACAGGACGGCAGATGACAGGACGGCAGATGACAGGACGGCAGACGACAGGACGGCAGATGACAGGACGGCAGATGACAGGACGGCAGATGACAGGACGGCAGATGACAGGACGGCAGACGACAGGACGGCAGATGACAGGACGGCAGATGACAGGACGGCAGATGACAGGACGGCAGATGACAGGACGGCAGATGACAGGACGGCAGATGACAGGATGGCAGATGACGGCAGACGACAGGACGGCAGATGACAGGACAGCAGATGACAGGACGGCAGATGACAGGACGGCAGATGACAGGACGGCAGATGACAGGACGGCAGATGACAGGACGGCAGACGACAGGACGGCAGATGACAGGACGGCAGATGACAGGACGGCAGATGACAGGACGGCAGATGACAGGACGGCAGATGACAGGACGGCAGACGACAGGACGGCAGACGACAGGACGGCAGATGACAGGACGGCAGATGACAGGACGGCAGATGACAGGACGGCAGATGACAGGACGGCAGATGACAGGACGGCAGATGACAGGACGGCAGACGACAGGACGGCAGATGACAGGACGGCAGATGACAGGACGGCAGACGACAGGACGGCAGATGACAGGACGGCAGATGACAGGACGGCAGATGACAGGACGGCAGATGACAGGACGGCAGACGACAGGACGGCAGATGACAGGACGGCAGATGACAGGACGGCAGATGACAGGACGGCAGATGACAGGACGGCAGATGACAGGACGGCAGATGACAGGACGGCAGATGACGGTAGACGACAGGACGGCAGATGACAGGACGGCAGATGACAGGACGGCAGATGACAGGACGGCAGATGACAGGACGGCAGACGACAGGACGGCAGATGACAGGACGGCAGATGACAGGACGGCAGATGACAGGACGGCAGATGACAGGACGGCAGATGACAGGACGGCAGATGACAGGACGGCAGATGACAGGACGGCAGACGACAGGACGGCAGATGACAGGACGGCAGATGACAGGACGGCAGATGACAGGACGGCAGATGACAGGACGGCAGATGACAGGACGGCAGATGACGGCAGATGACAGGACGGCAGATGACAGGACGGCAGATGACAGGACGGCAGATGACAGGACGGCAGATGACAGGACGGCAGATGACAGGACGGCAGACGACAGGACGGCAGATGACAGGACGGCAGATGACAGGACGGCAGATGACAGGACGGCAGATGACAGGACGGCAGACGACAGGACGGCAGACGACAGGACGGCAGATGACAGGACGGCAGACGACAGGACGGCAGATGACAGGACGGCAGATGACAGGACGGCAGATGACAGGACGGCAGATGACAGGACGGCAGACGACAGGACGGCAGATGACAGGACGGCAGATGACAGGACGGCAGATGACAGGACGGCAGATGACAGGACGGCAGATGACAGGACGGCAGATGACAGGACGGCAGATGACAGGACGGCAGACGACAGGACGGCAGATGACAGGACGGCAGATGACAGGACGGCAGATGACAGGACGGCAGATGACAGGACGGCAAACGACAGGACGGCAGATGACAGGACGGCAGATGACAGGACGGCAGATGACAGGACGGCAGATGACAGGACGGCAGATGACAGGACGGCAGATGACAGGACGGCAGACGACAGGACGGCAGATGACAGGACGGCAGATGACAGGACGGCAGATGACAGGACGGCAGATGACAGGACGGCAGACGACAGGACGGCAGACGACAGGACGGCAGATGACAGGACGGCAGATGACAGGACGGCAGATGACAGGACGGCAGATGACAGGACGGCAGATGACAGGACGGCAGATGACAGGACGGCAGACGACAGGACGGCAGATGACAGGACGGCAGATGACAGGACGGCAGACGACAGGACGGCAGACGACAGGACGGCAGATGACAGGACGGCAGATGACAGGACGGCAGATGACAGGACGGCAGACGACAGGACGGCAGACGACAGGACGGCAGATGACAGGACGGCAGATGACAGGACGGCAGATGACAGGACGGCAGATGACAGGACGGCAGATGACAGGACGGCAGATGACAGGACGGCAGATGACAGGACGGCAGACGACAGGACGGCAGATGACAGGACGGCAGATGACAGGACGGCAGACGACAGGACGGCAGATGACAGGACGGCAGATGACAGGACGGCAGATGACAGGACGGCAGATGACAGGACGGCAGACGACAGGACGGCAGATGACAGGACGGCAGATGACAGGACGGCAGACGACAGGACGGCAGATGACAGGACGGCAGATGACAGGACGGCAGATGACAGGACGGCAGATGACAGGACGGCAGACGACAGGACGGCAGATGACAGGACGGCAGATGACAGGACGGCAGATGACAGGACGGCAGATGACAGGACGGCAGATGACAGGACGGCAGATGACAGGACGGCAGACGACAGGACGGCAGATGACAGGACGGCAGATGACAGGACGGCAGACGACAGGACGGCAGATGACAGGACGGCAGATGACAGGACGGCAGATGACAGGACGGCAGATGACAGGACGGCAGACGACAGGACGGCAGATGACAGGACGGCAGACGACAGGACGGCAGATGACAGGACGGCAGATGACAGGACGGCAGATGACAGGACGGCAGATGACAGGACGGCAGACGACAGGACGGCAGATGACAGGACGGCAGATGACAGGACGGCAGATGACAGGACGGCAGACGACAGGACGGCAGATGACAGGACGGCAGACGACAGGACGGCAGATGACAGGACGGCAGATGACAGGACGGCAGATGACAGGACGGCAGATGACAGGACGGCAGACGACAGGATGGCAGATGACAGGACGGCAGATGACAGGACGGCAGACGACAGGACGGCAGATGACAGGACGGCAGATGACAGGACGGCAGATGACAGGACGGCAGATGACAGGACGGCAGATGACAGGACGACAGATGACAGGACGGCAGACGACAGGACGGCAGATGACAGGACGGCAGATGACAGGACGGCAGATGACAGGACGGCAGATGACAGGACGGCAGATGACAGGACGGCAGATGACAGGACGGCAGATGACAGGACGGCAGATGACAGGACGGCAGATGACAGGACGGCAGATGACAGGACGGCAGATGACAGGATGGCAGATGACAGGACGGCGGATGACAGGACGGCGGATGACAGGACGGCAGATGACAGGACGGCAGATGACAGGACGGCAGATGACAGGACGGCAGATGACAGGACGGCAGATGACAGGACGGCAGATGACAGGACGGCAGATGACAGGACGGCAGATGACAGGACGGCAGACGACAGGACGGCAGACGACAGGACGGCAGACGACAGGACGGCAGATGACAGGACGGCAGATGACAGGACGGCAGATGACAGGACGGCGGATGACAGGACGGCGGATGACAGGACAGCAGATGACAGGACGGCAGATGACAGGACGGCAGATGACAGGACGGCAGATGACAAGACGGCAGATGACAGGACGGCAGATGACAGGACGGCAGATGACAGGACGGCAGATGACAGGACGTCAGATGACAGGACGGCAGATGACTGGACGGCGGATGACAGGACGGCGGATGACAGGACAGCAGATGACAGGACGGCGGATGACAGGACGGCGGATGACAGGACGGCAGATGACAGGACGGCAGATGACAGGACGGCAGATGACAGGACGGCGGATGACAGGACGGCGGATGACAGGACGGCGGATGACAGGACGGCGGATGACAGGACGGCAGATGACAGGACGGCAGATGACAGGACGGCAGATGACAGGACGGCAGATGACAGGATGGCGGATGACAGGACGGCAGATGACAGGACGGCAGATGACAGGACGGCAGATGACAGGACGGCAGATGACAGGACGGCAGATGACAGGACGGCAGATGACAGGACGGCAGACGACAGGACGGCAGATGACAGGACGGCAGATGACAGGACGGCAGATGACAGGACGGCAGATGACAGGACGGCAGATGACAGGACGGCAGATGACAGGACGGCAGACGACAGGACGGCAGATGACAGGACGGCAGATGACAGGACGGCAGACGACAGGACGGCAGATGACAGGACGGCAGATGACAGGACGGCAGATGACAGGACGGCAGATGACAGGACGGCAGACGACAGGACGGCAGATGACAGGACGGCAGATGACAGGACGGCAGACGACAGGACGGCAGATGACAGGACGGCAGATGACAGGACGGCAGATGACAGGACGGCAGATGACAGGACGGCAGACGACAGGACGGCAGATGACAGGACGGCAGATGACAGGACGGCAGATGACAGGACGGCAGATGACAGGACGGCAGATGACAGGACGGCAGATGACAGGACGGCAGACGACAGGACGGCAGATGACAGGACGGCAGATGACAGGACGGCAGACGACAGGACGGCAGATGACAGGACGGCAGATGACAGGACGGCAGATGACAGGACGGCAGATGACAGGACGGCAGACGACAGGACGGCAGATGACAGGACGGCAGACGACAGGACGGCAGATGACAGGACGGCAGATGACAGGACGGCAGATGACAGGACGGCAGATGACAGGACGGCAGACGACAGGACGGCAGATGACAGG